GACCCGCCTTGGACAGCCCTAGGGCTGGTGAGTTCTCGCGAGCGTGAATGTGGATCGAATGATGCTGTTGCTGATCTTCATCCTCCTCCTCATGATCTAGATTACACAGTTTTGTTCCCGTCGTCAGACCGACGTAGGCCAAAGCCTGTGTGCACTCGATTCCAAAGCAGCCGGCGTAGTTCCTCAGCGCGCCTGGATCGTTCATTTCGCACAAGAGCCGCGGTTCGTCGTTAGCCAAACGGGACAACGTTTTGTGGTCGGTCGCAACAGCTGAAATGTCTTCTTCACACTCGCCACCGCCAATACCAATTTCCCCATTGCCTGCGGCACTTTCTTCTCCACTTTTCCCCTCATCAGAGATGACAGCTATTTGAACACCGACACCAATGCCTCTGTCGCCATGGCAATGTGGAATATCGGGACAGGCTAAAGCCGGCGATTTGGCCATTCCTAGCTGCCCGACGAAATCAGTCTGTCGGCTTGACTGGCTCATCTCTTTGCGTGCATTTGACGCTGATCTGTGCTGATGATTGCGCAGCTTCTCTTCTCGACGCCACTTTGCGCGACGGTTCGAGAACCAGACTTGGATTCGGGTTTCAGGCAGACAAACACGAATAGCCAAGCTCTCACGAGCAAAGACGTCTGGATAGTGCGTACGCTCAAATTCTAAACGGCAGAGAGAGGTTAACATAATTCAATTATAAGATTTAACAATTTAAACCCGGATAGTAGTCTCTCCTAGGTTGAAATCAACGAAAATTCAAAAATCTTGCTAAACGAAACTACTTTTACATATCGGGACTAGAATTTCCCATATCTTCTACTCTTTAATTTTCAAGAATTTATGTGTAAAAATCAAATTCTTTAAAATAATAATACTGAAATTCAAAGCAGATCGGTAACTTCTCCTCAATTTATTGTGGAAATTCGGAGTATAATTCCACAGGATGAACAGAGGCTGAAAAATAATTAAATTTGTCGACCTCTTACAAGTAGTCAGGTTAGGCCAAATATTAGCCATATAGTACATACTCGTGCCTTACTATACATGAATACCTACAAATAAGAAGTAACAAGTAATTTGTATTGAATAAAAATTCTTGGATTCCCAGACATGTTAGTTACTTATATTTCGCTCATAAGTAGGTAGAAAGAAAAATTGATCCTTTGGAGCCTTAGTGTCACGGTACAGTTGTGACTAAATTGCTGTTATATTGCACAATTCAAGTGTATTCTAATAGGTTATTATCACAAGAAGAGTACTCATTATATATACTCTTCAATACACACACTCAATGATGTTATTATGCAAATGTATTATAATAACTAAAACTTGTTTGCTACTTTACCAAATGAAACTAGAACTTCTGAGTTTTTGTGTTGCTTGTGTTGCGGCGAATCACGATTCGTAAAGTCTACCATTCGCTTTCTACTTCCAACATACTTACTGCAAAAGCTGGAGTATTATGAGCTTATGATGCAATCGAAAGAATTTACCTGGCCTTTAACACCTTTCCCAGTTGTCTGTTCTAAATTGATCCATGGTTCATCAAAGCTATGGATCTAGGATTATAGCTCCCAGAATGTTCATTAGCTCTTTACTGGGTCCAAACTTTTGGGTTTGTCGTTAGGTTACTAAGCTAGCAACTCTGACAGGCTAGGAAATTACACTTATTCTTGAAGCGTCGGGGTTTCAGTCAACTGTATTTTAGTAGAAATCACTCTTGCTTTTTCTCATAGGCAGATTAAGGTGATGAATTTTATTAAATTGGCTAAAGTTTTGTTTAATCAGTCTTATTATCTATCAGTTAACATGGTTCTTAAACGTAGCTATTCTTATCAGGCCTACGGCCTTTTTCGTGGAAATTCGGAAATTCATAAACCCAATTGTTGGGTTGTTGAATGTTGTTAATAAGTTGCATCCATCATGTAATATAGCGACATTATAAACAATTATTTTACTAGTATTTGAATTTTTATTCAAGTAACGTTGAAATTACGATGATCCGTCTATAATATATTTTATCTGGGACTTGGTATTTTGACGTAAACGAGTAAATAGGCATTCAGGGTAGAGGTACCGGTCTGTCAAGTCTACGCCTATATCTCTTACAGTCACTGCAATGAGGTCGAACTTATTTCATCTTCAGCAAAACTAAATCCTCCTACAAATTCTACAATTTAAACAAGCGAATTAGACCGAAAAGAACTATTGTTACCAGCACTCGTTAAACAAATAAATCATTTTTAAGTAGAAAAGGTTGGAGAGGAATGTATCATGATAATGACAATGATTAATATTTTAAGTATCTCGTGCGAGGATGAAGTTCGACTGGAGACTGATCCAAAAAGATGGAGAACAGAGAAAGTCAAACTTCTTCTGCATGTAAAGGCAGCTATGATCGTATTTCCCGTTTTATAACGCACAAAGCAGAGTCAACAACCGACTGTTTAGAGTATACATTTTTTCGGGAGAATATCTTGAAAATGGTTGAGCAGGTAACTAGATAGATTATAACTTTTATTAAAAAGTATTTCCCCACATAAATTATATCCATCCAGTAGGCATAGAAAAGATGACTCAATAGAAGTAAATCTAAAGATCGTGTACATTTAAGGCATTCTCAAATAAAAATATTACGGTGATTCTGAGTAAATTTACTGAAACTAATTTACCTTATTCAATTACTGAGCAATTGGATTTTAGGACATTAAAACTGACAAGGTACGAACCAGATATTCCACGGCATCCTGCCTCCTGTAATCAGCTATGACGATATGCTTAGGGGTGAGAGACCCTAGTACATAATAAGAAAACAGTTCGTTAAAGTTGTATAACAAAGAGCCATTATAAGCCTCCTCCGGCGGTGAAATCGTGTCCATCTTAGCACAGCCATCATCCAACTGAGATTGGTAGAGTTGGGCTCAGTTACTGTGGGCAATTTCTCTGAGACCTGAACTCACATCGCAAAATTTAAGCTGATCAAAACTTGCATCCAAGACTAACAAACAGTTTATAAATATACTCTCAAAGCAAATAAGTAATTTGTTAATTTGTACTGGAGAATACATATTTGCCTTATTGACTTAGCCAGTAAAAAACTGTGATTTTTGCAGGACGTGTCTTGCCTTGAAGTCACACCTTCTGGCACCAGTGTCTCTTTAGCCGAGTAACATCGTGTTGCTACGATATGCACGACTTGATTTCGAATCCTATTAGGAGAGCAAATCAAGCTTG